CGGTTCTCCTTCTGTAGTTTTTCTAATGTAGCTTCAATATACTCATCTCTCAAGTGGAAAACCGAAACTAATGTATTACAGTGCTGAACCGGATCCGGAGCTGGTTGGAAACTCACCAGGTGGAGCACAATGGACTTGTTAAGAGTATGAGGGATTCTTTAAATGACTATGAAGCCAAACTCAGTGACCTCCGTGCCATGCTCCAGGAGGCGGTTGCCCAAGCAAAGCAGGCCACTGGCCTCAACCAAGAGAATGAGAGAGCTTTGGGAGCCATCCAGGTGAGGTCCCAATCCCTAAGCTTCCCACTTTGATCAGTAAGGATGAAGGAAACGGGGATCTCTATTATTAACAAGGTGCCATGGCCAGGTACCTGTCTGGATCTCTGGTTCTACCACCTCTATCCCTGACCAAACAAGAATGGAGCATTAAATGCAAAACCAAAGTCATTTCTACTCCTCAGCCACCAGAAAAGTTCCTGAATATCAACCACAGACACAAAGCAATCCGAAGTGTTTTTGAAGGCATAGTAGGGGAATAATGTTGCCAAGTAGATGAGAAATTAGTATTATTCTGGTGAATGAATCCAGATTGTATATTATGTGTTTTAAATAACTGACTTTTCGGGTCATATGTATAAATGTCATCATTATAATCACCAGCAAGGCATTTTAAGCTATTTCTTGCTTTATAGGAAATAAAAATATAGACAGCAGGGTGGCGCCTGTGGCTCAAAGGAGTAGGGCACCGGCCCCATATGCTGGAGGTGGCGGGTTCAAACCCAGCCCCCGGCCAAAAACTACAAAAAAAAAAAAATGCAGATGACATATGGCTAGAATTTAGAGCTCTGGACTTTATAGTTTATATTTTTAATGGTGAACATTGTATTCTAAAACAACGAAAGTGTGAGGGGTTATAAACTGACAGCAGGATCATAGTTGCATAATCCGGAACTGACTCCAAAAGAGGAGGCCGTTGGTAAATGAAAATAAATGCAGTTGTCTGGGTGTGGGAGTTCCCTCCTGTGATTCCAGCACTCTGGGAGCCTGAGGTAGGCAGAGCAAGAGCAAGACCCTGTCTCTACCAAAAACAGAAACCATAGCAAGGCATAGTGGGGCGTGCCTGTAGTCCCAGCTACTTGGGAGGCCAAGGCAAGAGATCACGCAAGTCCGAGAGTTTGAGTTTGCTGTGAGCTGTAACACCATGGCACTCTACCTAGGGCAGCAGAGTGAGGCTCTGTCTCAAAAAATAAAGAAAATAAATATATTGAATACATGCATCATAGTGGCTGACTGTATGCTTAGTTCTCACCGTTAAATAGTCACACCTCTGTGTGAAGCCGCTGATTATGCCAGGGAAGGGAGCAGGATCCGACGTGGTGGATCTCTGATGTTTGGCCTCCTTTGGGCCCAACATTCTCGGGTCCTCTGTAACCTCTCCTTCAAAGGCCTGCTAGGTCCTCACTGGTGCTGGCATGTAAAGTGTGCTGACAGTTGGTGATAGTTTATTTAGTTAAATTCTTCATCCCGTTCCATATACAAGACCTTAGTAATTAAAAAAACTTTAAAAAGTTAACAAAAAAGACCTCAATAATATAGCCACCTTATAGGTTAAGTCAACCCCTACTGTTGAAAAATCCTTCAGCAGTGACAATCGTTTCATTGCATATAGTTTGAGGGAACTACAATAACATGTGACACTGCAGAGAGAGCTGAATTCCTGTCACTTCATCGTCACTTAGATGATCTTTATGTTCATGAAAGCATTCTGACTCTGAGATTACTTATTGTCTGATAAATATCTCTTGGTCTTCTGATAATATATCATGGAGCTCAAGCAGGTATTCTTTTCATTTTCTCCAGAGACAAGTGAAAGAAATAAATTCTCTGCAGAGTGATTTCACCAAGTATCTAACCACTGCAGACTCATCTTTGCTGCAAACCAACGTTTTGCTGCAGCTGCTGGAGAAAAGCCAGAAGGTAGAGGAGACCACTTGTTCTCTAGAAACATCTAAAAGCATTTTAATTATGTTGCCAGGAAACAATGAGATGGGCTGACCTATTTTTTCACAAAGCATATGTCTTTTAGATATTAATAGAAAGGATTTAACTGAAATTAACAATGGTTCTCCCTTAGAGGAGGAGTATGAATGATATGTCTTTTTTATATCTATCTGTATTATCTAATTTGTCTACAAGGAGAAAATCGCTTTTGTTATAACACCTGCAAAACATTATAATACTATTTTAAAAATAGCAATCATACCTTTGTTAACAGAAGACCTTTAAAACTTGATAAAATATTGACAAAATTTCTTAGCAGTCCAATGGGGATTTTAAAAGTATCTTTTATTATAGTTAATTCTAAATCACAAAAAAGGTTCTTTGGGCTCGGTGCCTGTAGCTGAGTGGCCAGCCACATACACCAGACCTGGAGGGTTCAAACCCAGCCCGTGCCTGCCTAACAACAAAGACAACTACAACCAAAAAATAGCTGGGTGTTATGGCGGGCATCTGTAGTCCTAGCTACTTGGGAGACTGAGGCAAGAGAATTGCTTAAGCCCAAGAGTTTGAGGTTGCTGTGAGCTGGATGCCATGGCACTCTGCCAAGGGTGAAATAGACTCTATCTCTTAAAAAAAGGTTCTTTGATTTAGTACCATTATACATTGATGGTGACATTGTGTGTTGTGCCCAGATCACGATGTCCTCAAAAACCACCAGGGAGCCGGGGTCCAATGCAAAAGCAGGAGAGTTTTATTCAAGCTCCTGAACCTGGACCTCCAGTATCTCCGTCGAGCTGAAGGCCCCGTTCTAAGGGGGAATGTGGCTTTTATGGGCGAGGGGAAGGGAGTGACCTCTAGAGGTCGTGTGTGTCTGATTGGTAGGGGCCCCTGAGGTGGTGTCTTGTGCCTGTGTCCTGACTTCTGAGAACCTGAAACTTAACTTCGGGGAAACCGAAACTTAAGCTTAAGATGAAGTTGGTCTTGTTCTTTCATGTGCTTTTATAAAAGTTGTCCCCACCATGGTGAGAATGCTGAAGGTGATAGTAACTCTTGGGGAAATATTATCCATGCCACTACCTAAAGGAACCAGGATTAATTGGAGTGGCAAGTGAATTTAGAAAATGTAATTGCTCAGAGTTTGAGAAAATAGTATATACATTCTGTGCTTGAATTTACACCGTCTTTGTTTACTTGGGGAAAAATAGGATTACGAAAAATTAGCTGCCACTTTAAATGATGTGAGGCAAGAACTAAGTGACAAAGTGAGAGACCTTTCCAAATCTGCTGGCAAAGCGTCCCTGGTGGTGGAGGCAGAAAAGCACGCGCAGTCTCTGCAAGAGCTGGCGAAGCAGCTGGAAGAGTGAGTGCGTGATCCCCAGCCGCAAAGGGCATGTGGGCGGGCCCAGCGCAGCTGCTTTGTCCTGAGCCAAGCCTGACCCTCCCCTGCATTAGCGGGATCGCAGAACAGGGTGGAGGGTGCGGCCAAGGTCAAAGCCCCAGGCCCAGGTCAGAAGCTGACCAGAGATGAGGGAGCTAATTCCTGAGCATTTCTCTGGGGCAGAGCTGTGGAGGCCATCGCCCCAGGTCTCCGCCTTCCAAAAGGGGTGGGACCTCAGCTGCTGGCAGGGGAAGGCTGTGGGGGAACCTAACCTGCCCATCTCCCAGGATCAAGAGGAACGCCAGTGGGGATGAGCTGGTGCGCTGTGCGGTGGACGCTGCCACCGCCTACGAGAACATCCTAAATGCCATCAAAGCCGCAGAGGACGCGGCCAACAAGGCCTTCAGCGCGTCAGAGTCTGCCCTCCAGGTGGGCGCTTCTCCCAGAGCTTCTCCACATCTGCTTTGGAGACAGCTGGTTTCCTTATTTTCTTTCCGTGGACACTGTGGGATATATATATATCACCACATTATTTTAAATCAGAACTTGTTACATAGAAGAGAACTACCTCTAGATAGGGATAATCTGAATTTGACCAGTTTATGTCTATTACACAGTTTAAAAACTACCTATTCATGAAACCAGATAGAAGTCACACAGATTATCCATTCTGAGCCTAAATAAGTCCACTTCCCTGAGGCATGTAGGGCTGTCTAGCACCCTAACCTTAACTTTTAGAGAACACTTCTAATTCTCCTCTCCCTATGAACTTTGTCCTTTAACAAATATGAGCGTTTTAGTGTAGGATGAAAAAATCTTACTGTGTTTGTTTAAGATACAGGAAGTTTTTAACGCTGATAAATGCTTCACTTTCAGACAGTGATAAAGGAAGATCTTCCAAGAAAAGCTAAGACCCTGAGTTCTGACAGCGATAAACTATTAAAGGAAGCCAAGACCACACAGAAGAAGCTACAGCAAGGTAGTGGTGGGCCCCAGTCAGGATAGTCAGGGGCTGGCTTTCAATGCTCCGTGGGACAGGAGGGGCAGCTTAGAAGCAAATGCTCTTTTTGAATCTCCGTGTCAATGCAGTTAAATCTGCGTTTTGTTTGATTAATACCACATGTCCAGCTGATATTCTAAACATCCTTCATCTAGTACCTGTGAAATTAATTGGAGCATTATAAATATTAATAGGCCTCTTTTGGCCTAGTCTTGAGGGGAGAGGCTATTTTAATTTAATTCACTTGTGATCATGGCATCGGGAACCCACATGTCAAGATCATTAGTTTTGAATCATTAGAACAACTGCCTCCCAATTTCTTTTGTTGTTTAGTTTGTTTTCTTCCTAGAGACAGGGTCTTACTCTGTCACCTGGAGTAGAGTATGGTAGTGTCATCGTGACTCACTGCAGCCTCGACTCAGGCTCCAGTGATCTTCCTGTCTCAGCCTCCCAAGTTGTGGGATCTACAGGCAAGCCCCACTATACCTGGCTATTTTTTTTCTAATTTTTTGTAGAAATGGGTCCCATTCTTGCTCGGAAAGTTCTTGAACTCCTGACTTCAAATGATCCTCCTATGTTAGCCTCCCCAAGTACTGGGATTATAGGTGTGAGCCACTACACCCAGCCACAAAATTTCCTAAGTCCTAAGATCTTAGCAACTAAAAGCTCCCCAAATCACTACCACAGTGCAGCATGAGAAATTTTAAGCACAACTTTTGCTTAAAATTTTGGAAAATATTCATATATTTTAGTTAATATTTTAAAAATAATTAAACTATCTCAATTTCACCAAACTCCCGCTTTCTGAAAATGCTGTCTCTTGAGTTTCTCTGGTCTCTTATGGTCATCCAGGAGGCCACAGCCCTCACTCAACCTCTTAGTCCTTCCAGAGGGATTAGATGATATCTTTGTCAATTAATTTCTTTCTTACTTTCTTTCACATTAAAAAAAATTAAATACATGAAAAATAAAATACAAAGAAAAGTACTAATATACAATTATTTGTCTAGCAAATTTCAAGAATTCCAATTTCCTGATGTGACATCTTGTTACCCTTTACAAAATTTAAGTTTAGAGATAGGCTTGGTGTTTTATTTATTTTTGTTTATTTATTTATTTATTTATTTTGAGACAGATTCTCACTTTGTCGCCCTCAGTAGAGTGCTCTATCATCACAGCTCACAGCAACCTCAAACTCTTGGGCTTAAGAGATTCTCTTGTCTCAGCCTCCCAAGTAGCTGGGACTACAGACGCCTGCTACAAAGCCCAGCTATCTTTTTGGTGTAGTTGCCATTGTTGTTTGGCAGGCCCAGGCTGGATTCAAAGTTGCCAGCTCTGGTATATATGGCTGGCTCCCTTAGCCACTGAGCTACAGGTGCCAAGCCAGGCTCAGTGTTTTAAATAGGCTTAGGATGCTAACTGCATTGCTATTGTAAACCAGTCCTGGAATCAAAATGTAAGTCATGTATTATCGTATTGATATGGTCTTAAAGCATTCCCTGGTCATTTTTAATAACCCTAGAATGGCAATATTATTAGCTTGGAATGGCTGCCAACTGCTTTTGTTTCATAAAATTTTAAAAAATATGTCATTTTAGAAATGAATGGGCTTGGCACCTGTGGCTCAAGCGACTAAGGTGCCAGCCACATACACCTTAGCTGGCGGGTTCAAATCCAGCCTGGGCCTGCCAAACAACAATGACAACTACAACAACATTAAAAAAAATAGCTGGGCATTGTGGCAGGCGCCTATACTCCCAGCTACTCAGGAGGCTGAGGCAAAAGAATTGCTTAAGCCCAAGAGTTTGAAGTTGCTGTGTGCTATAACGCCTTAGCACTCTACCCAGGGCAACAGCTTGAGGCTCTGTCTCAAAAAAAAAAAAAAAAAAAAAAAAGAAATGAAATGAACAGAATCAGATAATGCTTACTTTGTGTCTATATTTGCTTTGGAAGAGGATCTCTCACCAACACTCCTCTTTTGTCCTCTGACTGAAGAGGCATCCTTTCTGCATTATTAATTCACTTTTTCATTAATGCCTATTCATGCATTCAACAAATATGTACTAATGTTCAGCCTTGACCTGACCGTATGTGCTGGGCACAGTAGTGGATAGGACTGACACGGCCTTCACTAAGCATCATCTTTTGCTCTGAGCAGAGTAGAAGTTGAGCCTTCCCCAAGTTATTCAGCCTCTCCCTTTCTTGTGCATTTCCAAGGGGCCTGTGGCCACAAGGCTTCTGGCCTCTGTAATCAGAAGATCCCAGAACTATGGGCATCTCTGGGGTGACCCCCTGAGAGGCAAGTCTGTTCAACACTGTGTAAATGTGTCTATTCCAAACACCAGTGGAGATGAAAATGCACAAAGTAATTGCCTCTTGATGCTCCATTTTATGTTAGAAACCATTCCGGCTCTCAACAACCTGCAAGAAACGCTGAATAGTGTGACGATTCAGAAAGAACTGATAGACTCCAATCTCACAACTGTCCGTGATGATCTTCGTGGGATACAGAGAGGTTGGCACCTTCCTAACCCACTGTACTTGGCTTCTTCAGTTGAACATTCGAGATAGTTACACCTCCTTTCCCCCATTTGCGTGTCTATTAGGCGACATAGATGGCATGCTCACTAATGCCAAGAACACGGTCAGAAAGGCCACGGATATCACAAACGAGGTTCTGGATGGGCTCAACCCCATTCAGACAGATGTGGAGAGAATAAGGGACACGTATGGGACGGCCCAGAGTGAAGACTTCAACAAGGCTCTGACGGATGCAGACAACTCAGGTACTGGGCATTCTTTCACCAGACTGTCTTTGACATGTTCTCCATTGTTATGTGCTTTAATCCATTTTAATTTTTCCTGTGTAAACTCTGCTATCAGAAATGAAAACATTAAAAAAGATTTGCATAATATATTCAAGTCTGTTAGTTAGAATCAGATAGGATATTTTAAAATTTTAATCCATCGATAGTGCTATTGATTTTTTTCTTATAGGGTGGTGGTATGGGTTCCTGAATCATGAGACACCAAATTTTAACTGATACTAAGAACTAGAAAACAGATTTTTTTTTTCTCCTGTAGTGGTCAAGGAAAAGGATTTGATACCTAGATTGCAGAATAAAATCCACATCAGTAGTTCAGAGACATGTTCCAAGACCCTCACTAGTGGCCTGAAACCATGGATCGTGCTGAATCTTACATATACTATGTTTTTTTAATCTGATAACCAGACAGCTGCTCAGTGACTAATGGGTGGGTAGTGTAGACAGTGTGGATAGTCTGGATAACAGGATGCGTCATGTCCCAGGTGAGAATATGTGATCCTCCATCCCACTGCTTAGAAAGGCATGCAGTTCAAAACTTACAAATTGTTTATTTTGGAATTTTCATTTACTACTTTCAGACCATGGTCAATGCCAAGTAACCTTGTAACCTTGGGAAAGGTGGGGAATGATTGTACTTGATTATGATCCGTCCCCTTCAATATTTGAGGCCTACACATGCCACTTAGTAACTATTGTCAGTAGGAACATCTTCGTGGAATCTTTTCTCAATGCACAATTTTAAATTTCTATTTTCTAATCGTACCAACAGTGAAGAAATTAACCAACAAACTGCCTGATCTTTTGAGCAAAATTGAAAGTATCAACCAACAGCTGCTGCCCCTGGGAAACATCTCTGACAACGTGGACAGAATACGTGAACTAATTCAGCAGGCCAGGGATGCCGCCAATAAGGTGGGTGTGTCCCCACGGGGTGAGTCCCCACAGGGTTTGTAGCCACCACTGGTACCTTGATTGGTGACTATATTCATCAAGAAAGGAAAGGCACTTATTTATTCAAGAATCAGTTGTCTCTCTTGACCTTACTCTTTGATTGCTTGAAGTACAAAGCTTGATTTCCTCCTGTCATCCCAAAGTTGGATCTTCATCCCCTAAATTATCCTCAGTGTCAGAGACCTGAAGCAATTTCCTTCCCTTGAATTTATTCAGGCAGAAAGAAGGATTTTTTTTTTTCTAAGCTAAACTGCTATTCCAAGTTCAAGTAGAGAAGGGGCTGTGCTCAGAAGCTGCCAATGTGATACTGCACTACTCTCCTGCTGCAACTTGGAAGGCGTAGAATCCATCTTTGCTGAGGATGGAAGACCTGGGGTTATAGCAGTTATCCACCACTGGAGCACTGGTTCATCAGCCTTTCTTATTTTAACCTGACATTATTTGCTGGAGTTTCTGACAGTCCCTTCTTATGATCTGTTTGTCCTAACATAGTGTCAATGGAAGTTCTAATAGTTCCTAGCCAGCTGTGTGTAAGATCTTGGGAGGGAAAGAGTTAGGAAGCCAAGTCAGAATATCGCTGCCCTGCAGGCATCATGGTTAATTTCTAGGCTCAGTATTACTTCTTTTGAGCTTCAGAATCTGCCCTTTCTTCTTGGAAAGAGAATTATTCCCGACATGAAACCTTGAAGAGGAAAACGAAGACTGTAAGGCAAAGTTTGAAAGAAAATACCCTCCTCCTACTTCCGCCACACCCATACGTGCTTTATCAAACCAAATCAACAAGAACGTGTTGCTTTTGCCCTTCTGTGTTCATTCATTAATTTAGCCAACACAATCTGAAGTGTATTCTAGCACAGTGGTTAGAAGTTGGCTAAGCAAGCCAGACTATCTTGGTTTTGCTTCGTGCTTTATCACTTACAAGCTGTGGGACTGTTGGCCAGATACTTCACCTCTCTGTGCCTCCACGTCTTCATCTGAGGAATGGGGTAAATAATAGTACCAAACTCATGAGATTGTTAGATTATTTAGATGAGCTAGTGTGGAACAGCACCTGGCAAATAGTATCAAGATAGTAAAAAAAAAAAAAAAAAAATAGCCAAGTGCATTTGAATATCTACTTTGCATGAGCACTCCTTTGGGTACTGAGGACACAGATGGTATTAGGTCCTAGTTCTGAGCTCAGGGTGTTCACCAGCTGCCACAGGTGGTTTCTGAGACTATGTTAAGAATTTGGGTAGAGGAAACACCCACTTCTACCTGCAGAAGTTCAGAACAGCACAAATGAATAACACCAACAGACTTGTATAGGCTTCATTGTAGGCTGGGAGCAGTGACTCACGCCTGTAATACTAGCTCTCTAGGAGGCCAAGGCAGGAAGATCCCTTGAGTCAGGAGCTCCAAGACCTGCCTGAGCAGCAGCAAGACCCTGCCTCTATTAAAAATAGAAAAAGATCAGGCCAGGTGCACTGGCTCGTGCCTATAATCCTAGAATGCTTGGAGGCTGAGGCGGGTATATTGCTTGAGTTGAGGAGTTGGAGACCAGCCTGTGCCAGAGTGAGACCCCTGTCTTTACTAAAAATAGAAAAATTCTCTAAGCATTGTGGTGGGTACCTGTAATTCCAGCTACTCAGGAGGCGGAGTAAAGAGGATTGCTCAAGCCCAAGAGTTTGAGCTTGCTGTATGAGCTATGATGATGTCATAGCACTGTACCCAAAGTGACCTCTGTCTCAAAAAGAAAAAAAAATCAGCCAGGTATGGTGCTGTGCACCTGTAGTCTCAGCGACTCAGGAGGCCAAGGCAGGAGGATCGCTTGAACCCAGGAGTTTGAGGTTTCAGTGCGCTATGATGATGCCGTTGCACTCTACCTGGGGCAACAGAGTGAGACTGTCTCAAAAAACAAAAATGTTCGTTTCAACACGATTTTTGGAAAAAAGCCACATATTTACAACAGTAAACATGAATTACTCTAGCCACGTTTATCAACAGGAATAATTCTAAAAACATAGTGACCAATAAAGAAAGCAAGTTATAGATATGTACAGATGGACATCGTTTATATAAAAATATTTAAAACATGAAAAATAAGACTAGTTACAGTTTCCAGATAAATGCATTTTTATTAGGAAATACTAAAATATGTATCCAAATCCAGAGTAGCAGTGACCTCTGAGAAGGGAGAGAGGGGAACGGGGATAAGGGGTTTCAGCTACACCAGTAATGTTTCCTTTCTTAAGCTAGTAAAGCATATACAGGTATATTCTCCACATTTTTTGGCATACATAAAGTATTTTCTTTTTTCTTTTAAATTTCAGAATATTGTGGGGATACACATGTTTTGGTTACATAGTTGGCTCATATGTGGGAGGGGAGGAGGGGGTGGGTTAACTTACACCTATTGGGTATAATGCACACATTCTGGGTGATCGGCACAGTTATAACTTTGACCTGAAATGTACAAAGTATCTCCTTAAGTAAAAACAATAAAAAAGAACGTGTAGGAATTTTCCAGGTTATACAAAGCAGAAGGGTGTGTCAGGGAGGGACTCAAGAGATGTGGTAGGGCAGATTCTGAAAGGCAGAGGGAAAAGCATGAAATGAATAAATGTGAGTCTCCATCACCAAACCCCCTCTAAGTGATGGCTTGGGACCAAGCCCCCTGAATAATGGCTTGCATATACAAGATTCTTGATAAAAACAATTGAATGCTTGCTAGATTGAAATGTGGACTTGGTGTATGTCTCATTTGGGGAGTATTGTTCTTTCTCTCGTTAAGGAATATTTATCTGTTGTGTTTTAGAGCGAGCTTGGTCCCCAGACCAGCAATAGTCAGAGAACTTTTGTTACTGGTCCATTATATATGAGTATAAAGTTGAGAGTAAATGTTTGGAAGATTTTAATCATTCAAATCACCCCAACATGTAAGCCTGGGATCAGTAAGCTTGCATTTTGTATACCACCTTTATTACCTTTTTTGTCATTTAACTTTTGGTATATTTTACAAAGGTGCTGTCCATGACAGATCATAGGCGAGGACATGATCCTTCACCATATGGAGTTCAAGAAGCACTATTTTTGAGAGCCTAATGCACTCAGTTTTTAGAACCAAATGCCTGTAATAAATGCAGCCATAACATGTAATATATTCATGGGGAACAGCTCCTTTAAAAGCTCATCCGAAACATCTTTTTTAGGTCTGGCATGTCTACTGTATGCCGGGCACCATGCCAAGTGCATCCATAGATTTTAGCTCATCTGCACAAGAACCTTCCACAGCTGTAATTACCATTGTTATCATTATCATTGTTATTATTGCCGGCACAGAGGATCAAATGCACTTCTCAAAGACCCCTGGCTAATAAACAGGAAGAGCATGAATGCTTAATGACCCAGATCCTGGAACAGTTTCATGAGCGTATAATTCAGGTCTTAGAGACAGTTAGACTCCCTTGCTCCTAACCACACGCAGCCTGAGAGAGGCTGATACATGGTTAAAAGGGAGGGCTACAAAATCATAAAACACCTCTCCCAGAACACTCACTTTCTTCGGAGGAGTGTTTGACAGTCACGTGCCCTATTCTTCACAGGTCGCTGTCCCCATGAGGTTCAATGGTAAATCTGGCGTTGAAGTCCGAATGCCCAACGACCTGGAAGATCTGAAAGGATACACATCTCTGTCTTTGTTTCTCCAAAGACCTGACTCCAGAGAAAATGGGGGCACCGAGGATATGTTTGTAATGTACATGGGAAATAAAGATGTAAGTATTGCTTGGACATCTCTCTTGTTTTAGAAACAGAATATGTTTCTTGAGGTACATACTTTTGAGGTCTGTGGCACAATGATGTCCCTGCTTCAGCACAGCAGGTGGAAACCCCACCCAGGTGTAAACAAATCCCACCATCTTCTGCTCCCCTCCCCACTGTGGGGGGCTCATGAGGGGCCTCCCCTATACCATGCAGTGTTAGCGCTGGTGGATCCGAGACCTTACCCGGAGGCCCGGCTGTGGGCACACGTGTGTGTACACATGCAGACACACTTGGGGAGGGTAATTGGCACCACACTACCAGGTCCACAATAGCAAGGCTTCCTGGGAATTAGCAGTAGCTCCTCCTCACAGAATTGTGACCTGTCTTCTTTCTTCCAATGCTCAGCTGCAGGTCTGCAGGGTAGGGAGGTCCAGGAAGGGGACGGGAATGCAATGAACCCTCTCCTGCCTAACCAACAAGACATGAAGTTGCTTCATCTCTTTGGTATTCTGAACCACTGCCGTGACAGGCATTTTGAATGATTGGTCTTAGCTTTTAATCCTTCCTTTTAACATACATTTTATTGACTTAACTGTTAGAGGAAAAGCTAATCACTCACTAGGTTAGGATATGGTTGTTGGAAAAGCAATGTCTGATCTGTGGTTCTTGAAAATTCTGCCCAATTAGAAGATCATTAGTTCTCACTAGTAAATATTATACTAAAAGATTTTTACGATCAACACTATTATAAATTACCCTTTCATGCTCCAAAGTGTCGGGTTTTTATTTATGGCTTTCTTATGTGGTGACTTTTTGCTTTATATTGTGGTAAAATGCCCATCCCTTTAATCCTTCGATAAAGTGATACTGTGTACCTACTGTGTGCCCATCCTGGATTTGCAATAGACGAACATTTATTTTGTGAATACACTTAATACTAATGTACACCTAAAGGGGTTCAAATGGTAAATTTTACATTATGTATGTTTTACCGCAATTTAAAATCCTTTTGCTTCTACCTTAATATACGCACAATCTATCAGGGAAGAAAGGTAATGTGCATAACTGACCACGGTAACGCAGAGGTGTTCTAACAGAGACGAGCACAGAGTGTTAAAGAGAAGGCTGTATGCTGCTGAGAGAACAGTGACTTCTCTCCCTGACCAGACCAAAATCCAGTGGACGGCTGGGTCCTCTGCTCCCTCTTTATGGCAGGTGTTTGGCAAATGTTTGGCAAGTAAGCAAGTGGGAAGGATGAATAAATGAGTGCGTTATAACATGAGCAAAGATAGCTCAGACATTATTACTGAACTTTCTGTATTATTCAGTCAAAAGATGCACCTCGTTTACTCTGTCTGCCCACGGCTTATTGCACAAAACCCATTAGTTACTTGGAATGCATCCTCTCGGGATGGAACGTTGAGAGCACATAATGTGGGAGGTATCCTGAAATGGCCTTTGTGTCTCCAGGCCTCCAGGGATTACATTGGCATGGCAGTTGTGGGTGGCCGGCTCAGGTGTGTCTACAACCTGGGGGGCCGCGAGGCTGAACTCCAAGTGGACCAGAAGCTGACCGAGAGCGAAACTCAGGAGGCGGTTATGGACCGAGTGAAATTTCAGAGGTAACAGTCTGATCGACTCGTGCTCTGTGTGAACTTGACCCTCACCAACATGTTTTGTTGCTGAACCCCATTTTTAGTATCTTGGCTATGAATTCTTTAACTTTTTCATATAAGCATATTGTCTAATTTCTTTCTAAACAGGATTTATCAGTTTGCAAATCTTAATTACACCAAAAGAGCCACATCTAGTAAATCGGAAACACCCGAATTCCATGAGATGGACAGTGGCAGTAGCAATATGCTTCTTAATCTGGATCCCGAAAATGTTGTATTTTATGTTGGAGGTTACTCACCTGATTTTAAAGTAAGTAGAAACGTTATTTCACTGAGTGAAAATATTTAAAGTTAAATTTTGTATAATGACCTTGTGTCTCTATTTTAATTATTAATTATATGTAAAATGGATTTAACCATACATTCATAAAACACTTCTAGTGATAATAGCCTAGATATTCTAAGCTTAAGTATATCTAAGATTAAGGTGGTAATAGCTTGGTATGACTTCAGCTTACATATATTAATTCAATTAAGTATCATTAACATTGCCATGTTACAGATGAGTAAACTGAGGCAGAGTGGGTTAGTAACTTGCCTGTGGTCATATAGCTAGTAAATAGCAAAGTCAGAGCACCTGGCTCCAGGGCCACATTCTTAACCCTTATTCTATATTGATTGTTAAAAGTGTGATAGATTTATACTTTTTGGGAGGGGTCAATCCAATTATTATCCTTTGTTCTATAATTGGAAGAAGTTTTGTTGTGTTTTGTTTTCAGCCTCCGAGTAGACTAAGATTCCCTCCATACAAAGGTTGTATTGAATTAGATGATCTCAATGAAAATGTTGTGAGCTTGTACAACTTCAGAAAAACTTTCAATCTCAACACAACTGAAGTAGAGCCTTGTAGAAGGTAAATAAAACCTAGAACGAGTGTCTTTGTAACTGGAGCTTTGGTAACTTGCATTTGCTAAGGGAACAGGCCAGTGAGAAGCTGGTGTCACTGCTGATTGCTTTGGGCTGGTGGTTCTCACATTATGCTTACATCACAACACTGACAGTCCATCCCTAAAACCTAATAATGGCAAGCTTTTCCTAATCTGTGTAAAATAATAGATAGAATTTTCTCAATTTTTTTAAAGTAAGCTTTTCTTAAAATTATGTTGCCTCCTACCACAAAATATTCAATGTTATATGGTGTCTGATTTAGGTACAAAATTTCAGATTTAATGTACATTTTTTTTTGGAGACACAGTCTTACTATGTCACCCTTGAATAGAGTGCCATGGCGTGACAGCTCACAGCAACCTCAAACTTTTGGGCTCAAGTGATTCTCCCAAGTAGCTGGGACTACAGGAACCCGCCATAACGCTCAGCTATTTTTTTGTTGCAGTTGTCATTGCTGTTTAGCGGGCCCGGGCTGGGTTCGAATCCGCCTGCCTTGGTGTATGTGGCCGGTGTCCTAACCACTGAGCTAAGGGCACTGAGCCAGATTCCCTGTATATTTTAAAAGATAGTAATCCACAAAGTATACCATGATTTTATAGGTATTCTACCTTTCTGAACCTTTTTGAAAATTGCTGCCTTGAGGTCATAACCTTCACTATAATTAGAAAAATTTGTACTATTCCAGTATGAGGCAGACCAAGTATTTATGACTCAGAACAAAATCATATCTCAAGTTCTCACAGTTCAACATCCTCAGCTGGAAGGTCGCATCTTCCTAATTAGACATTTCCAAAGGGCACGCTTGAGTATTGTCTTTGTTGAGCTCGGGTTTGATTGTAAGAGTGTAAGAGCACAGCAGGAGGAAAAGCTGGCTGTTTTTAACATTTTAAAGATGTGTTCTCTGGTTTAAGAAAACTGTGACAACTAGATCGCGTATTCTTTCCTTCAGTTTTTGCATAGCATCTTGTATTCATAAGCATGCTTGTGTGGCGATCCTTTGCTGCTGTGTTCTAACTTACGGTGATTGATGTCAACAGGAGAAAAGAAGAGTCAGACAAAAATTATTTTGAGGGTACAGGTTATGCTCGAGTCCCAACTCAACCAAATGCTCCCTTCCCAACCTTTGGACAAACGATTCAGACTACCGTGGATAGAGGTTTGCTGTTCTTTGCAGAAAACCAGGTAATCTATAACAAGTACCCAAGTACTACCAGATATGTACATTCTGTTCAGCAATTTGGGGATAGCTAAGCTGTTATAAACAACCAACTAGATCTGAAAAACAGTGTGAAAAGATCATCTGTTTCCTTTTCCTAGGAGTGTGGGTTTTTTTTTCAGGTACAGTATTTTATTTCCTGTCACAAAGATTGGGGTTATAGACATATCACCTGAGGTACAATCCTGATCTAATCTAAAAACCATACATCTCTATTTCGTCTTTCTAGAGCCCCTCCCCTACACACAAAATAGGGGGTGTGTATTTTAATGAGGGGGAGTGCCTTTAGTCAGGAATTGGAGAAGGTACCACCAACATGTGGGAGAAATCTGCCTTCTTCCTGTTCTGTGCTCAGTTTTATTCTTTGGAAACTACTGGTTGCCTAGTAATCTACTGATTCTGCCTCAAAACGTGAAGACCTCCTGGAGTCTCTGAGATCTAGACTGTTTGACTTCCTGCTTTTTTCATCTTGAACTGCCTCTTGCCAGGCTGTATGGGATTGCATCTTTACCAGCCTGATGCTTGACTGACTTCAAGACGCTGAAGCTTCTCTGCTTTGAAGCAGCCGTGTTTCCTAGGGACCATCCTTAAATCCATGAGGTTAGAGAAATCCAGAGTGACCCCTTACAGGTGATCGTCAGTGCCATCTGCTGGTCGGAGGTGGCGTAGTGTTTGCTCTGGCTCTTTTGTTGCTGCAATAGGCCTTGAGTTGAGTGCACCAGAGAACAGGAGCCTGTGGAGTGGCTGCCACAGGGAGAATTTCTGGAGAAATGTGGATCAGCCCATGGGCTCTTTGGTCTCAGAACATAGTATTGATCCCGAGCTTGGGATTTTACCAGTCCCTTCTACCTGCAAGTTAGGAACACAGACCTGGTCCAGCGGACCCTTCAGGAGATTCCCATAGCTGCCCCAGTTCTGAGAGATCATACAGCATCTTCAGGGCACGGTGGTTGTTTTCCAAAACAAGGTCTTTTCTGCACTATATTTCAAAGTTCTTGGAGAATAAGAACCAAAAATACTACTTATATTAGAAGAAAACTTATATAATGTCCTTACAGAAGAAATGATCTGGAGAGTTGCTAAGTAGGATGATTCATCAAACTCAAAGGAGTGGAAATTGGTGTTACTCTCTTGTTTATGAGTTGAGGAACCCTAACCCAACTCCCAAGGGCAAGGTTTAGGATCCAGATAAGGACTAATTTCCCTCTAGATAAGCACTCTGACCTTAGACTTCAGAGATAGGCATTCTTATCCTTAGAGCAAAACCTTCAAGCTGCAAGTCAGAAATTCCTCAGCTTCTCTTCCCACTAGGGACATAGCTGATCCACATATATGTTTTACCTCGTGATGGGGGTGTGGTAATGCCCAGGGTCTCCTGTCCTTAAGGACTTCATAATCTACATAGGAAAACTGGTGTTAAAGACCTGCTATTGAAAGGCTAATACATCACAATTGTGAGGAGTGCTACACAGGAAAAATATGGGGAGAAAGGAAGATGCATCACCTAAAAGACTTTCTTGAGCAAAGGATGCTTCATCTGAGACCCGGAGGCCAAGTAGAAGATAGCATTTGTCCAGGGACATGGGGACAGGGAAGAGGGAGATCCAGACAGAGGGAGGGAGCACTCAGGGGCCTGAGAGTGGCCCGTGTGAGGGAGTGCTGGGAAAGGAAGCTGAAGAGGGGGGTGAGAGCCTTACAACACCTGCTCAGAGGCCAGGGCTCAATCCTGAGAGCTAGAGAAAGTGACAGGCTCATGCTGGCTCACACACTCAGACTGCTCTCACTGCAGAGGGAAAATGGAGGCAGGAGGGACACAGGGAGACCAGAGGGCTATTGCTGTACAGTCTGGCTCAAGACATTTGAGACTGAGACTAGCTGGGATGAAATGGAGAGAGAGTTGAGAAATGGCAGAATTCGTAAGATTTGATTGGGTGAGAGAGAGGGAGGAATCAAGAGTGACTCCAGGGCCTGTGGCTTGCCCAGCAAGGTGGTATGTGTGAGGGGGTTGGGAGGCGGAAGGTGCACACACGTAGCGTGAAGGAAGTAGAGACAAGCTGGGCAGCCTGTGGGAGGCGCATAGGTCATAAATTCAGTTGGAGATTGAGTTTGATGTATCTGTGAGTCATGCGAGCAGTAACGATAACAAGGGAATCAGATGTACACACCTGGCCCTGAGAAGACAGGTGTAGGCTGGAGAGAAACATCTGGACTTCATGGGCCCACCAGGATCAGAGCCACAGGAGTATCAATGATTGTTGAGGCAAAGGGAGTGGTGTGGGGAGGCAGAACCCTGTGCAGGGTCCCCCAGGAACCTCCAACACTGCAGTGGAAGGGTGGGGGATAAGCAGGCAGATGAGACTGAGACACAGGGCTAAGTCAGAAAACAGATGGTGGGAGATAGCTGGGGTTGGAGTAAGACCGTCTCTGTCTCCAAAGGGTAGCACTCATGTTTTAAAATAATATTAATGATCTGTATCTTTTCTGTTTTCATGCTGGTCATGGATCGTATGAGACACAATCATGATACAATAGCTAACAGGTGTGTCCGTCCTGTGTCAACCACTGTACAGGATGTCTAACATGACTTATGATATTTAACCATCATGCTCATCCCCTGGGTTAGATGCTACAGCACCATTATCTCTCTTAACTAAGGAGGCAGCCAGAGCTGAGAGCAGCTTGTGACACAAGAGCGACTTGAGTTCCAATGTTCCGCTCTTTCTCAGTGGTGATCTACTTTGTTTCCTTGCCCTAGGATCGCTTCATATCTCTAAATATAGAAGACGGCAGTCTCCTGGTGAGATACAAACTGAATTCAGAACCACCAAAAGAAAAAGGAATTAGAGACCTCATAAACGATGGGAAAGATCATTTGGTATGTCTTTTGAGTCTGTTTACTTGAATTGTTAAATGTCCTTAGTCTTAAAATTAAGTCAGTGCCTCTTTCCCACACAAAAAAAAAACAAAAAACCCAAACCCTTGTGTTTCCAAATGAACTTGTAGCTATTAACTGAGGGACACATCATTTTAAAATTTGCACATTTAGGCACAAAATATATTATATATTTAGCATACATAAACATAATTGATTTCAAATGCCAACATTTCTATTAAAATATTATAGGCTGGGCACAGGGGCTCATGCCTATAATCCCAACACTTTGGGAGGCCCAGGCCACAGGACTGCTTGAGGCTTGGCATTTGAGACCAGCCTGGGGAACATAGTGAGACCCTTTTTATGAATAATTTTTTGTAACTAGCAGGATGTGGTCGCACATGTCTGTAGTCCTAGCTGCCTGGAAGGCTGAAGTACGAGGATCATTTGAGCCCAGGAGTTGGAGGTTGCTGTGAAATGCAATCATACCACTCCACTCCAGCCTGGGTGTCAGAGCAAGACCCTCTTTCTTGAAAAAAAATAAATAAAGACAAATGAAAAATTTTAAAATGTTTTCATATCATATTTTCATCCAAAAGTGCTACTGCTCAGAGTCTTCCCTTTGTGTATGTAAATGATTCTGAAGGAAGAAATATAAAAACATAACAGTTACAAACCTCTGCAAATAGGGTTCTTTTATTTCCCATTGCTTGCTAATTCATCTCTCATTTATTTCAGATTCAAATCAAAATTGGAAAAGTCCAAAACCTTATGCGGATAAATGTGAATTCTCAAAGCATTAAAATTGAAGGTGAAATATTTGATTTCAACACATATTATTTGGGAGGAATTCCAATTGCAATCAGGGAAAGGTAAGATGGTTTGTGTGTTTATTTATTTATTTTTGAGACAAAGTCTCACTCTGTCACTCTGGGTAGAGTGCTGTGCCATCATAGCTCACAGCAACCTCAAACTCTTGGGCTCAAGCGATCCTCCTGCTTCAGCCTCCTGAGTAGCTGGGACTACAGGCATGCCCCTTGATGCCCAACTAATTTTTTCTATTTTTAGTAGAGGTAGGGTCACACTCTGGCTCAGGCTGGTCTGGAACTCCTGAGCTCAAGCTGTCCACCCTCCTCGGCCTCCCAGAGTACTAAGATTACAGGATGGGCCCCCACACCTGGCCCACTTCATTTTTTTAAAAAAGCAGATTACCTCCCTTTGTGGTTATGATTGCTACCAGAAAAATCTTGTCTACTTGTTTTAATTCCAGCAACAAACAAACACCAAATGTTAACTTTTCAGTATTAACAGTGTAGTCAACAGAGTAAAACAGACCATAAATCCTGAATAATGAGACTGAGCATTGGATGGGGGACGTTGGGGAAAGTGTGTGACACCCCCATTTTTCATTCTTGGCACAAGAGAAACCACAAAGAATATAGTAGAGTTGACAATACTGATAATTAGCAGAAGAAGTGGCCCTGGCCTATTAAATGCAGGATAGGAGAGCACGGGCATCCCCAAGTCAGACAGGTGTCATGGTGAGAGCCGGGGTTGCTGCCTCCAGGAAGCTCCAGAGGCGTGTAGGACACTGTGTCTCTGTCATGTCTGTGTCGCCTGCCCCGTGTATGCTATCAAGCATGGAGTAAGTGCGTAACTGTTTCTGATATGAATGAACACGTGAATGAATTAAATTGTTGGAAAGGCAGTCAAGCTTAATTTGAATGAAAAATGACCCTACCACTTTGAGAATGCAGTTAAAAATAATTTTTATATTTTATTAATTTGTATCTTCCCAAAAGGCTTTTAGATAGCCAGTGATGTCCTAGAAGGGTTAGTACAGCTCCACGACTAAGCTTAGAGCATTCCCGAAATGTTTAGTCATGATTACTTTTATGTTAAGATCTGAAGCTGGTTAACTCTTTTTCTAATTTATAAATTGGTTGGAAGGAGTATTAGACGTGATTTATAAGGTGTCGTACAAAGGGATCCTTTGAATCACTTTACCTGGGCATCTGTCCATCCTTAGTAAGGAGGCACGAACATGTGTTTTATTGTTGTCAGGGTTATTCCCAAAAGACAAAAAGCACAGGCAGGAGAGCTTTGGGGTGGGCATCTTTACTCCTTAGAGTCTTTGAACTGGAAAAGACCTTGCAGATCTTTTGCAAGGTCCTGAATTTTACAGATGAAGAAATCGAGAGCCGAGGTGGTGGTGTTAAGATTTAATATTATCAATATTAAATAGCAATTCAGCCATAGATGGCCAGTTATGAATTGTCAGCAAGTGTGATTTTATACAATTAAATGTAATAAGATAGTCATTTAAGGTAGTCAGCACTTAGAAGCACATTTGAGAGTGACAGCTTACTTGCTCATTACTCAAGCACTTGCTGAAAGCCTTGCTGGCACCAGGCAGTGTGACAGGTGCTGGACACACAGTGATGAGCAGGGCGAAGCCTGGAACAGAGAAAAGAGGCAGGCGCCGCAGTAGTGTGTGGTGTGTGCCATAGAGGGGCAGGTCAGGGTGTTGACAGCGCAGAGGGAACCTGATCCACTTGGGAACATCAGGAAGTGGCCTCTCTAGCCAGGACCTGAGAGATGCCAGCCTTCAAGTTTGCACGTGCCCAGAGCTAGAGAAGAATGAGCTTGTAAAGAGCCGGGGTGCACTCTGAGGCGGGCAGGGCTACTCCCTGGGGCTGGTGAGGGCAGCTAGGCCCAGATCAGGAAGATCTTGAAAGTCACAGTAAGGAGCCAGTACGGGAACTTCAGCAAAGAAAGGCCATGATGAAAATTTGGATTTTCAGTGGCTCAGCCTAGTGCAGGGTAGAGATTGGATTAGACAGGAGCAGGGCAGAAGCAGGTGGAGCTGCTGGAAGCTGAGTGTGTTAACAGGTGAGCAGCGAGGGTGCCTGACTCAGGGAAATGGCAGTGCAGGGGAGGAAAAGGGAGCAGATTCCAAATATACTTAGGACACCTCACAGGGAGCACTGAATGAGTCCTCAGGTTTGGGAAGTAAAGGAAAAAACTGGTCAAAAATGATGCCCGGTGTCCAGCTGAGTGCTGGGTGGGTGGGGTGCACCCACAGATGAGTGGGCGTCGAGTTGAGTCTGAGACAGGATGAGCTCCCAGGGCCTGAGACACAGCCATGGGTAGATGCCCCAGAAGCAGGTGCACATGACCACCTGAGTCTCCGGAGAGAAGCCCAGGCTGGAGGAAAGGTGAACAAACCTCAGGCACCGGTGATCGCTGAGGCTCATTTGGACCCATGAGACATTCTAGCCGAGGCAGGGAGGAAGCTAGTGGCCAGTGGCTTACATCTGCCTGGGGTTAGCAAAAGGTCCACAGACCACGATGTGGGTGCCGGTCAGTCCAGCTTTTCTAGAATGGGGCAGTAAGTAGAACCACAAAAGAGTTGGTTCTTCTTTGGGCTCAGCCACCAAAAAGTGGTGTGACCTTGGGTTAAGTCAGCACTCAACCTTTCTCCACCTCGTCATCTCTGTACATTAAGGCACACAGGATTTTAATCCAGGCACACAGGATTTTCCTAGAGCTCTGTTGTAGAATCCTCCAAGTAAGGGACCATTTCCTTTTTCTGGGCAAGTTTATACTTTGCCTTTTTATTACCATCACAAGAACATAGAAAATGCAGGAGATAGAGGCCAGTCAGAAGGTTTCACTGGCCTTTCACTCAAAAGGAAAGTGCTGAGTGATGGCTGTTTCCAGGCCGGCTTTACCTCGCTGGTGAGGTCTTTGGTGGTGCTCAGAGTCCTAAACAGCCCTCTGATGTGAGTCACTGGGAGGCGGCTAGGCACAGAGGAGGAGTTCTGCCATAACCCGTAGAGCTCTGCAGAGGCCACCAGGCAACTCTTCCCACAGAGGGAGGCGTTCTGATCCCTGGCACAAATGGAAGGCTCTTACAGGCCTGTGATTTTCAACTGCTATGCTGCGGCACACTGGTGTGCTGTGAGAGGATCTTAGCTGTGCCATAAACATTTTCAAAGAGCATTAATTAAATTATTTTTGAAAGAAGTTCAAAGCACAATATTCTTTTCTTACTCTTTTTTTGTTGTTGTTCTTTAGCCCAGGCCAGGTTTGAACCCGGCAGCCTCAGTATATGTGGCCAGCGCCCTACCTACTGAGCTACGGGCTCC